AATATACGCACTAGGGGTGACTTTGTTTATTCAGCAAAGCAGCATGTTGGGCTTCTGCGTGATGTATATATTGGGTCGACAAGTCGCTTTGCTGCAAACAGTCTATGTTGTTGCTGGCTTTGATCAACGATACTTTAGGTACATCTGGACGAGCAGTGCATCAACGAAGAACTCGTAGATTCATTGATCATGCCACTTTCGACGAATGCCGAGGTGCTGGAGACGAGCAATGGTCTTGTGAGCACTCTTCGCGGTATGTCCGGTGGGGCGCCGCACAGTTTTAGACCAGGTGTGTAATTCTTCCTTATTCTTTACCTTCTCCTTACTTAACCCTTCCTGGGACCCTGTTTTCATACGTAACCTATAGCTCTTGCAGGACAGCGAAAGCCAGATCTAGGATTCTAAACAACACCAGCTTTCTACACTACAACGTAATTTACAAATTCTAAGAAAAACACAAGTTATACTTTGCAACGCTGCGAAGAAAACTGCGTTTTTAGAATTTTTAGCAGACGCGTTGTGGTTAAGAAAGGAGGCTACACACCTTTAGCTTATTTCCGGCTTTCGCTGTCTTGCTAGAGCTATAGCTAACACACCCTCTACCAGCCCATGCAAAAGGACATCTCCTTACCGGAACGTTCACTCCCAGTACCACGGTATCGGACCTCACTACAGCCCCGCACTTCAACACGCCCTCCACACCAATAACCGTTCGCTTCTCTTCCTCCACCGGGTTCCCCAAGATCGCAGACACGGACCCCAATGCCAATCCCCGCGGCATTGCCATTCGCTTTCACCTACCGCCCAAGGAAGATGGGCGAAGGCAACACACAGACATAGTTGCGCACTCAACGCCACAATTCCCCACACGTACCGGCGCCGAGTTTCTAGAGTTCCTCAAAGCGGCAACGGGGCAGAATGCGGGAGAAGCAGTGCCTGAGTTCCTTGGCCGCCATCCTGAGACGGCGAGGTTTCTACAGGCTGCGAAGCCTAGTCCAGAGAGCTTTGCGACGGAGAAGTTCTTCGGTGTGAATGCGTTCAAGCTTGTCAAAGAGGACAAGGTTACTGTGGTGAGGTACAGGATTGTGCCTATCGCCGCAGAAAAACATCTCGACTCCGAGGCGCTAAAGGAAAAGTCTGAGTCCTACCTGTTCGACGAGTTGAAGCCGCGTTTGCAGTCTGGACCGATTGGATTCAAGCTGTTGGCTCAAGTCGCCGAGGAAGGGGATGTGACGGATGATGCGACGGAAATATGGCCTGAGGCGAGGAGTATTGTAGAGCTAGGCGAGATCCAGATTGAGAAGACGATGGACGACGCGGAGAGCGCGAAGCAGCAGAAGAGCATCATCTTCGATCCTATTCCGCGGATCGATGGGTTACATCCGAGTGACGATCCATTGTTGGAGGTGCGCGCTAGTATTTATCTCATTTCGGGAAAGCAGAGGAGATCTGCGGAGGAGCCGGCTAAGGCGGAGGATGCGCTTGCTACTGATGCTGCGGTGGCTGCTACGTGAGGAGGTTCTTGAGGGCTAGATAGGCGGAAGGTATGAAGGTATGCGCGACATAAGATAACTGGAATGCACTCCTTCTTGCGCATGGAATCGATCTTTTCTGTGGTTGGACGACATTTTGGTTGGATCACTGTGCCTGAAGACCTTGACTGCTGACGTTTACTTCGGCGACCTGAGTCCATTTGGTTATGTGAAAGCGTCCAATGGAGATTTAAATGGAGTCACGTTCCAGTAGGAGTCGTAGTGTCTTGCTGTTCTTGGACCCTTCGATCTGGCGCAGGGCTGATATGTAAGGGTGCAGCCATAGCCGCAGCAACAACGGCGAAGTCGTGCATCTGTTTTTGTGCCGAACGTTAACCTAGAATTGAGCGAGTGCCGTGCACAGACACATAGCCATATATCCGGGACCCTCTAAGAGGGCTATCCTTCCAGCTGGTACTGGGATGGCAGTGTTTATTGGGAACTTGGTCGAATCCGGCGACACTCAGGGTAACCCTAGCAATACTACTGCCATTTTGAGCAACATCGCAAATCTATTTGCCATTCAGGACCTTTGCCGCACGACCTTTCGCTGTCAATTTGGGCGAGTCGGGAATACACCGGTTGACTCGGAATAGTCAGCGCCCTTCGTCGTTGAGTATCGGGATGATCCGTCTCACCGGCAGGGTCGCGGTGGCAGAATAGTATCTCGTTTGCTGATCATGCGATGATCTAAGACCGTTCTTTGTTCTCTTATCTCTCGAAAAAGAGGCTTGACTACTTTGCTGCATAATTGCAGTCAGCTTCGAGGGTGAAATGCTATTCGCCGGGTAATGGTTAGTGGTGGGTGAAGGAGTTTTGTGATAGGACATCGTAGGCGAGAATGACCTTCCATCATCAGAGGAATGGCCACCGCTCTCAGCCTAGTAGAAGATGCTATGTGACCAGACGACCACGTGAGAGGTTGGTGGTGTGTGATGGGTTCCCTAATTGATGTGCTCAGTAAGCACTCTTTGCGTGTTGAACATCATCAAACTGGTGTTCGAAAGTCCTAACCAACGTCTGAACAGTATTGAGCTAGATCTCTGCTACCAGTCAGCCGGAAAGGGTCTTTGCGAGACTGCACATTGCCGATGCCGTAGCATCCGAGGCTGTGCCGTAGCCGTGAGGTGATCCGATGTATCTGAATCTTACATGTCCAGCCTGCGCATACCGTACGCATCTAGCTAGTTGAAATAGAAGGCTCTTTGTTCTAGGGCAGAGGGTGCAGGCGCGACCGCAGTTTTGGAGGACGAGGACGTGCAGTGGGAAAGACTGCCGAATGAGATGAAAGTGGAGCTGCGGGGAAGATGACGGGCTGGCTTGGCACGTCCCACGTCGTGGTCTCGACGGCGTGCCTCCCAGATCGCAGACCTCTATTGGTATCATTTTTCTGCTATCGATTCTCTGGCCTCAGCTTTGTGGACTGCAAACAGCCTGCACGCCACCATACAGGGTTCTATTCTCACGAAAGCCAGTACATAGCAGTTGTTACCAAAAGCAGCTATGGCTTACGGCAACCATGCTCTCCGCAAAGCTCGAGACAGTAGTAAGCTATATACCAGCCCACTTGAATGTAGGAAAGGATTGAGTTGTGTATTATCTTAATCCACTTCACGCTATTATTGACCATTCCTGTACCTCTTGTGCACACCCTGTGGAGCAGATCTACCACGCTACTGCCGTGCACAAAACTTCATTCGCCGGGAGACCGACTTACGAACCGACATAGTGGCTTAAGTTCATTTCTTGCATCTTTCCTTTCCTCTTGCGGACCCTGCACGACGTTGTGCGTAAGGGTTTCGTTGCGTTCGTAAGCGCGTTGTACACCAAATCTACGAAGCAATCTACATTCTTACAGGCGGAGAGTCCGTCCTCCTAGCTGGGAAGTCAATATTATTTGTCTCGGTCACGTTATCCTGCGTTGTCAGTCGATCCGCTTCCAGATTCGAAGGTCTTTCATCCCGTTCATACCGGTTATCCTCCACACTCGACCACGGCCACCCTTGTTGGCCCTTATATCGACTATACTGGCTGTTTGCGCATGGCTCCCCACCTAAACTGTGCATCTCGTCGGCGAAGTCGTTCGTCGTGACTGCAGGGCCGATACTGTGGCGCTCTCCGGGATATTTCACAAGTACTGCGGCGGTCGGCGGGATCAAATAACTACCAAACACGATTAGTCGCACTCGAGTGAATCCGGGAAATACTTTCAGTATCACTCACACGCTAGAAACGCACCAGATTAAGCCAACCTTGGCGCACACTTCCTTCTCTGCAAAGCACAACACGCTGTCTCGACGACTTCCAGACATGCCTACGCCACTATCACCCCACAAAGACTTTGCGCTTGTCATCGCCACGAGAGCGGCGTCCGGACTTTCCGTCATAGGCTCAACAATCATCGTTACTACTTTTGTGTGCTTTCCCTTCTTCAGAAAACGTACGTTGACTTGCTTCGATGCGTTACAAGAGCTGACATCGCGCAGCAATTAACCGTCTGGTATTCTTCGCGACATTCGGAAATATCTTGACGAATATCGCGACTTTGATGTCGATTGCAGTCTTACCAAAGGATTCCGAACCCCCGTCCGGTCTCTGCGAGTTTCAGGGTCTCATGATCCAATGGTTCCTGATCACAGACGCCCTCTTCTGTTTATCGATGGCTATGAATGTATTCCTGGTGTTTTTCTATGGGTACGACGCCCAGCAACTTCGCCACTTGGAGAAGTGGTATGTCGCGTGTAGTTATGGGATCCCCGCTTTACCAGTCCTCGTCTACTTCATCTTGGGTAGAACGGGAAACGAGATTATTGGATCAGCAACTCTTTGGTGCTGGGTATCGTCTGACGTCGAGTGGATGCGGATCGCATTTTTCTACGCTCCTACCTGGTAAGTCCAGTCCACGTCAAGCCAAGCACAGCTAATCTCGCCAGGATTGTTATCACTACGACTATCAGCATCTATATCATCACCGGTTATCGGATCTGGAGGAAGCGTGCCGAACTACGATCAGTTTCTCGAAGCTCGCATCAATATCTAGCCAGAAACTCCTTCACTGCTGCTACCGAGAACACTGCCCCGCATCCTTTTGTGGGTGCAAACAACATCGTGGTGACGACACAAATTAAATGCGACGTACAGCCGGAGGACGCCATCTCACGCTGTGTCTCTCCCGAGCCGGATCAAAGTTCCATCAATTCGTTTTCGAGCACCCGTTTACTTTCCACGCCGAGCAAACACGACGATACGGCGACGGAAGCACTGCCAGCCTTGAACGCTGCTCGTACGTCCAGGATACAGATCGAGGATGTTGAAGCGCAGCGACATCCACACAATGGTACGAGAGGTCGAAACGGGTATAGGGCGACCGTCATTGCGACGAGCCCTGCAGAAACCTCGGCAACCCCGACCACATTATTGACAACGCGTCCTGTCGCCAAGCGGACCGCAGAAGGTCATGCTGCAGCCATGGCATACTTCCAAGTCGCCTTCCTCATGTTCGTAGCTTTGCTTGTGGTCTGGCTACCCAGCAGCATCAACCGCATGTACCAATTCACGCACAGAAACCGCTCGAGCTTCGCTCTCAACATCATCTCCGCAATTGTACTTCCGCTTCAAGGAGCCTGGAACGCAACCATCTACATCTTTACAACCCGCTCCGAGTGTAGAAGAGCTTGGGGTACGGTCAAATCCAAGCTGACTGGCAGCCCATTACAACATCATCTGCGACGAGATGCCTATCGCAAGGAAACGATGACGAGCTCTCGCGACACGCAGGACTCTGGTACTGAGATCGCGCTAGATGATTTCCACAAGCACGACGTCCATGTACGTCACGCTGAGGTGTCGAATGGCCAAGCCACTGAGGAAGGCAAAGCTCAGCGTCGTCCAGAGCCGTGGTGATGCGTCAATGTTTCTCCACGTCGTCGTACTACTGTGGTGTTTCAACAGTGCTACGTGGCTCGCGTCAGCTCACCGTATTTCGAGTCATCGTGCTTTGACCTTTTGTATCATCATTTCTTATTTTATTAATGGTTCTCTATTCTTGGGTTGCGCGCAGCTTACTGTCATTCCGGGTGTTTCCAAGTTTTTGGCGGATCATTCGTGTTGGAACTTGAGTTTTCAGTCAGTCGTTATCATGATACCCTAAGATTTGTGTACGGCGTTATACTAGATCTGGGGCGATCTATTGGGCTCAGAGCACACAGAAGAGGGCGGTACAGCCTCAATGGCTCTGGGGAACTTGATTATACTTGTTTTGCAGTGAGAAGAACGAAGTATCTGCTCTGTTGAAGCCAATATCATTATATATTACGTGAGAGTAATCGAAAAATTCGTGAAATCACCGCCTCGCACTCGTCATTCTATGATAACATCGCCATCCTGCGCAACCTCATCCATACCCCTACTCCTTGGCACGAGGATGCTCCTGAGGATGCAAAGCTGACCGTTATCCGGACAGATCTTCTCCCTGTTCAACTGCTTGTCCACAGGTCCAGTCGGTCCACCCGAGAACTTAGCCTGCCCAAATAGCTTGACTTGTCTCGGATCACTCTCGGGGTACTCCTCATCGCCCCACCTGCCCTTGAAGTTCAACCACGCCGTCGGCGCCTGACCATCATAAGCCGAGAAAGCGGACTTTCCGGCGTCGAATTTGTAGAAGTTGGCCGATAGGAGAGGATCCCACATCACACCTCGGTCTGTGTAGTCTTCCAAGACGCCGCCGGGAAGATTGAGGTTGGGGATGGTGTGGTCGTGGGTTCCGGAGATGGCGTAGTTGGCATGCGAGCCTTTGGATGAGTATGCGATGGGTCTGTCGCCGGTCTTCTCGACGGTGCCATAGCGGAAGGCTTGGCCGTTTGCGTGTTGAGAGTACCAGATTGCCTCGGGAGAACCGTTTGAGAAGCGGACCATTACGTGCTCCCAGTCCCCTACGTGGTTGCCTTGTTGGAGTGTTAGGACTGAACAGTGTTATGGTATGGATGGGAGAAGGATGTACCAAAGTTCAGTTTGCTCCATCCCAGGACCTCACCGCCGTAGTTGTAGGCGTAGAAGTACATGTAGAAAGCGTCAACGTTGCCACTTCCCTTGTCGTTCACAATGATGGCCGCTGTGGTCGCTCCTTCGGTCTTGCCCTGCGCGTTGGGTTTTGTGCCCTTGATCCATGTGGGATCTTTGGTCACGTCGTCGTTGGATGTGAGCCAGACGTCGCTGCCCATCTGATCGAGGTTGGAAGTAGTTAGGGGCTTTGAAGGACCAGAAACCTCGTTGAACTCCACTCGCGGAGTCGTATGGTTCAGGAATGCTTGTATATCGGTGGGATAATAGGCATCCTGTGAGTGAAGGTAGACGATGGGCGCTAAAGAGCAGTTAGTGGGATTCGATGTACAATTACAGACAGCGAAGCAAGAGCGAGTATCACTGCTTACCATATTTGAGCACATAATCGGGAACGCCATTTGGCGCCTGCCTTTCGTCGAGTGCGAGCGGGGCGCAGCTAACCAAAGATACGGCCATGGTAGCCAGCGCGACAAGTGGTCTGAAAGCCATCGTGTCGTCTTTCGATATATAACGAAGGCAGTGGTTGTGAATGGGATCTGTGTGGGTTTGCGCACAAGAAACAACCAGCTGCTGAATCACTGCTTCTCTTATACAAACGCCTACGCCCAGCTGACTACCGAGTCACCCCCTTCACAACCGCATCAGACGAACGGTTTACCCACCCATTCTCCTCCACCAAACCCCATGCGCTAGCGACATACCGTCTGTGCATGGCAGACATACTCGTACTAATTCGCCTGTGTCCCCAAGCAATAATCAGCTGCCCACGCCAATAGTCGGGGAGGCCGGCACACGTGCGAACACATTTGATGGGTGACCAAAAGCAAGCGTTCGGTTCGGTTGAAATTGACAGCGGGTGTGGCTTGGATGATTGGTTCTCGAGCGCTAGGGCCCTGATAGCGAGCCGGATGTGGCGATCCGCGCCAGAGGGATGTGCCGACATTGATAGGGTGAAGGCTAAAGTGATCCACGTCTGAAACATGGTGATGTTGAGTATGCACATGCGATAACTTGCACTGACAGAATTGATGCAGGGGCTGTGAGAGGGTCTTGGGTAAAATTGCCGGTTGTTCTTGGCAAAACTACGCGGGCGTAGGTGTTGTACAGCTCCATGGGTCATATCCTACAGCCAGTTGCTAGAATACAAAGGTTCGCGCAAACTTGCGATCCATCTCCTCATACTCCTCCTTGAGCATCTTGCTTCTAAGCTTGTTGAGCCGAAGAATGACACCCTCTTCTTCACCCTCTAGGTTCTCCACGTCCTCATCCAGGGCCTTGGTGCCCTTGACCTTCCACACCAGCCCCTTCAAACCTCCGCTCTTCGCCTGATCCCGCTTCTCGCGGGCCTCAGCAGCCAAGTAAGTCATGATCTTTCCCCACGATTCGAGACCAACTTCCTCGCACTTTTCGCACTTCTTGCGGAGGTCGTCGTTGGCGCGTATGGGCTCGAGTGATTGCGCGAGCTTGGAGGTAGAGACACCATCGCGCACCCATGAGAGGCCCTGTTGGCGTTGGCTAGATGAGCTGCCAGCTGTCGCGAAAAGGATCTCGCCAATGTAGTTCTTCAAGGCGGCTTCTTCGCAGCGGTCGCTTTCTTTGCGGAGGAGTGGTTCATCGCCAGAGGGTGGCACCTCTGGATAGTCGGGCTCGCGCAGCAAGCTGAACAGAGTACCGACGAGAGTAGAATCTTTTTGTGCCTGCACTACAGGGATATGCGCCTCCTGGGCTTCGATACGAGCACGGAGCAGCGAGACGAAAATTGGGAGTGCGGACGAGACTCTTCGTTGTTCCGCTAGAAAAGTAGCCAGGTTTGTCGCCGCGTAGAGGATGTTTGGTGTTACTGCTTCCTTGGGTGCCGTAGAAGACAGAATGGCACTGTCTCGGTCGATGACTGTCGAAGGCTCGGGCGTGGGTAAGCCTGCAATGGCAATGTCAAGTGCCCATCTATACATTTCCTCCGCCGAGTCGGGGAGCTTTCTGAAGTTGAGCCAGTCGGCATAGCTCAGCGCAGCTGATAGCCGTTGATATGTTGTAAACCCCTTGGAGGTGATGACCTTGAGGTAGAACGTCTCTGGTGCTTCCGCCGCGGGAAAGCGATGTTCCGCATCTGGTGGCTCGGGCATGCCGGGAAGAACAGCCTTCGGTCGTGGATTCGAGGGCGATTGAATGAATTCTGGCGCCCAAACGTTTCTCCTCCACTTGTCCGTCACCCATCCATCTAACCTCTCTGCAGCATTACCCATGCCCATCAAGACTTCGTAGTACCCTTGTCGCCACTCCTCGCTTTTGGCCGTCAGATCGAAGCCTGCCTTGCCTACGCCGGGCACCAAGATCCCTCCCTCTTCCTGTTCAGACAGACCTACGCCATCCTTGTTCGGGTGTTCCAATCGGTTCAGCGCATATTCCAGCTCTGAGTAGACCCGCGCCCAGTTGGGGAAACCCTCTTCCTCGTTGTTTTCGGGCACCTGCCACCACTTTCCTCTCCGGAATCTGAATCTCGTAATCAGGCTCCACTCATGCGGCGACGGAAATGCCCGCTCTTGCTGCTCGCTCAATATGCCCAGACTTGCGATACTGACACATGATGAGAGGAGGAAGATGAGGATGCTGTATCGCACACTCAATTTCGCCGTCTCCTTTATGAATTTCTTGTGGTTGGCGCTAATGGAGAACAGACGTTGCAGTTGGCCATTGGAGAGGTGCTGGCCCGAGGGATATAGGAACGGTAGCTGTGGCCGGGGCGAGCCCTGATGCGCGACGAGGAATTGGCGGGGGTGTTTGTTCGAGAACTGGCGTGGACATGGGCGGTCAGAGGTACGCGATGTCGGGGGCCTCAGCGAGCCGTGTGGGAGCTTTGCTCGATGCGCCGGGGGCCGCATCATGCTTTGCGACTGCAATTCTGTCGCTTGAGGGGTGCATCGATGCCGTAGTTCACGCGCCAAGACAATCTTGCGCGACCGCCCGGCAGAAAAAGTTCAGGATCTCCATTCTCGTTTCGCGACGCTCCTACAGATCTACACCATTTTTGCGCGCCCACCATGTCCAAATCTAAGATTCACACCCCCGAGAAGAAGCGCAAGCGCGACGCCGAGGCAGCAGAGGATGCGCCGAAGAAGTCCAAAAAATCCAAGAAGACCGACAATGTCCAAGATGCGCCTGAAGTCGAAGCGACCGAGGTGAAGAAGGAAAAGAAAGACAAGAAGGATAAGAAGTCTAAGAAGTCCAAGGACAATGTCGACACGTCGGCTGTCGAAGACGCCTTAGAAGACGCAAAGAAGGAGAAGAAGGAAAAGAAATCGAAAAAGTCCAAGAAGTCCAAGGATGCGGATGTGTCTGAGGATGCGCAAGAGGCTGATCTTATCGATGAGATGAAGTCCTCGGAGAACTTTATCAGCGTCAACGATGACGAGCCAATGCCCGATGTCAGCGAGGACACGCCTGCGAAGAAGGAGAAGAAGTCCAAGAAAGAGAAGAAGGACAAGAAGTCCAAGAAGAGCAAAGACGCCGCCGCATCTGAGGACACACCTATGGAAGACGCAGCCGAGGAACAGAACGGCGTATCTGAAGACACACCTGCACAGACAAACGGCGCAGACTCTGACTCCAAGGCTGCTAAGAAGGAAAAGAAGAAAGATAAGAAGGAGAAAAAGGAGAAGAAGGCAAAGAAGGCGGCAGAAGCAGAGACCAACGGCGAGACCTCTACTGAAGAGCCCAAAGCCGAGACCAACGGTGAAGCCTCTGCAGAAGACGCAGATGCAGACGTCGAGGGTGGCGCCGAAGTCGAGGTAGAGGGAGAGGAAGCCCAAGCCGCAGTCGAGGCTAACAAGGGCCGCTTCATCGTC